GTACTTCAGCCCCCTTCCCCCCCCCCCCAGTGCGCCGGTTCGCGAGCCGGACCGCATTATATGAGATTGCAACTGGATTCGATCACCCATGGCATACCCGTTGTCGACCCCTTTTAGCAAAAAGGTTTGGGCATCGGACATTTTATGAGATTGCAACGGGGGGTTCTTCGGGATGGTGGCGAGCGGAGGCCGTTGTTGTTATGTTGTTTTCTATTGTTTCGTGTGTGTGTGTACAAGTTTTATTTTTCATAGTACTATGTTCGTAGTGAGCGGGATACGTACTTCAGCGCCCCCCCCCCCCCCCCCCCCCCCCCCCCCTTCGCAGGTCTGCGTGCCGGTTCGCTAGCCGGACCACATTATATGAGATTGCAACTGGATTCGATCACCCATGACACACCCGTTTTAGCAAAAAGTTTCGGGCATCAGACATTATATGAAATTGCAACGGCGAATTCTTAGGGACGGTGGCGAGCGGAGGCAGAAACACAAGGGGGGGCGGGGGATATATATATATATATATATATATATGTATATATATATATATATATATACAGAGAGAGAGAGAGAGAGAGAGAGAGACTCTAGTTGAACAACGAGTCAATTCGCGGTTATCGAGTGATCTGGTGACTGACCACCTTTAAGAAGTGGCAGACCAACTTCAAGAAGTGTCAACCTTCAGGAAGTGCCAAACAGTCGGCGGTCAGAGGACTCCAGTGCTAAAAGCATTCTTAGGGGACCTTGCAGTCGTGTTCAGAACATATTAGCGTAGCACTAGATGCTCACCAAACAGTTCTGGATGTCGGTTATATCGACACATCATAAGATGCCTTACAAGCAAGCAGCGGCTGCTTGCAGGACCTTCTACCCGGTATGAATCTTTGAGAGCAGAGTTTCGCACTCCACCGTGAGATCCACGTCGGATAGGTGGACCTGCCATCCTACCGCTGTTAGCTGTAGTCATCTTGAGGGAGTCGATGAGGTGAGGACCCGRCAAAGAAAACTCTCAGTGGACTTTGCTGCCGTGTTTTTGGAACTTATTGGCGTAGCACTAGATGCTCACCAAGCAGTTCTGGATGTCGGTTATATCGACAAATCATAAGATGCCTTACAAGCAATCAACGGCTGCTTGCAGGACCTTCTACCCGGTTTGGATCTTTGAGAGCAGAGTTTCTCACTCCACCGTGAGATCCACATCGGATAGGTGGACCTGCCATCCTACCGCTGTTAGCTGTAGTCATCTTGAGGGAGTCGACGAGGTGAGGACCCGACAAAGAACACTGTCAGGAGACTTTGCTGCCCTGTTTGAAACATATTGGCATAGCACTCGATGCTCACCAAGCAGTTCAGGATGTCGGTCATATCGACACATCATAAGATGCCTTACAAGCAAGCAGCTGCTGCTTGCAGGACCTTCTACCCGGTGTGGATTTTTTAGAGCAGAGTTTCGCACTCCACCTTGAGATCCACATCGGATAGGCGGACCTGCCATCCTACCGTTGTTGGCTGTAGTCATCTTGAGAGTCGATGAGGTGAGGACCAGGCAAAGAACACTCTTAGGGGACTTTGCTAGCGTATTTGGAACTTATTGGTGTAGCACTAGATGCTCACCAAACATTTCAAGATGTCGGTTATATCGACACATCATATGATGCCTTACAAGCAAACTGTGGTCAGATGCCGTCCCCCATCCCCGACACGGATCTATGAGAGCAGATTTGATGCAATCCACCGTTAGATCCACATCGGAGAGGCGGAGCGGTCATCCTACCGTTGTTCAGTGTAGTCATCATGTGGGAGTCGACATCGCAAGAACCCGACGATGTTCCAATTGGGACATGCTCTTGTTTCGTGATGTGCAGGTGCTTACCGGTGGTGCGTTCGATCCCCTCCTTGACGTAAAGCAAAGTGCGAGGGAATTGCTCAGGGCTCACACAAGAAGTGCGATTGAACTCGCACTTTGATGGAGAAGCAGTTGCGCAGTCCATCAGCGCGACGATTTAATATGGATATTGGTTTGTCATTTGTATATTACAGGTTGAAAATGCCATCAAATCTTTTTGTGTAGAAGATTGATATCCATTCATACAAGTATCTCTTGTCATCGCAAACATCGAGATGAAAAGATCTCAAGTCAAATTGCAAAGCACACAGAGACATCGCAAACATCGAGGTGAAAACATTTCAAGTTGCCTATTGTTTTTCCAAAGGTGAAGTCTCACAGCACACGAATAGTTCCCAAAAATAATTCAATGCAGAAAATTCATTCAAGGGCAAATTGCAAAGCACACAGAGACGTTTCAAAAAATCATTGAACGCAAAATATCATACAATCCCACATTGCAAAATGCACGGAGGCTTTCCAAAAATCACAAAGCACATGAAGCCAAAGTGCGAATATGTTCTCATTTCTCATATGGAACCAACAGTTCAATCACAAATGTACGGCGTCCAAAGTGCGAATATGCATTTCTCATACGGAAACAATAGCCAACATTCCGTGGAGAGCACGAGATGTATTCCGGGGATAAACAAAATTGGTAATCATTCATTGCACCGCTGAATCCGTAAAACAACTTCAAGCACACATACATTCTGGCGACAATTGGTTTTCGAATGGAGAACAAGTTGCGAAACAAGTTCGCAACTGTCATAGGGAACCAACAGACAACATTCAATGAAGACAAGCAAAGGGGGTGAACCGTAAAACGGGGCGGCATACGCTGAACAAGGGCGAGCCAAAACATATCAAAGCTGGGTGTCATTTCTCATATGGAACCAACAGTTCAATCACAAATGTACGTCATCCAAAGTGCGAATATGTTCTCATTTCTCATATAGAAACAACAACCAGCATTCCGTGGAGAGCACGAGATGTATTCCAAGGATAACAAAATTGGTAATCATTTAGTGCACCGCTGAATCCGTAAAACAACTTCAAACACACACACATTCTGGCGACAACTGGTTTCTGAATGGAGAACAAGTTGACAACTGTCATAAGGAATCAACAGACAACATTCAATGGAGACAAGCAGAGGGGGTGAACCGTAAAACGGGGCGGCACATGCAGAACAAGGGCGGGCCAAACGAAAGAGATAAGCACGAAACAATTTGGCGACCAAGAATAAATCGTCGATATCTTTCACATGAGCAAGAGAGGCGCACAACCTCGAAACGAACAACCGCAACACGGTGCTGCCGCGGTCGGAGAGGATATAAGGAGAACAACCCGAAAAAACAAAAGGAGCACAAAGTTGGTATATTCACATCTGATATATAAGCGTCTACTTAAAAAGAAAGTGCACGATGTGGCTGGGATATTTACATTGGCATCTAAGCTACTACTTCACGTAAGCGTCCGCTGCTACCCACTAGCTGATGTTGCGCGGCAAGCAATGAGAACAACCCTAAAACAAACAAAGGCAGCAAGGCGCTGCTGAAAGTCCTACGAATAAAGATGACAGGTTCCACTAAATGAAAAACCCTTTAAAAATTGGCACAGCACGAGGCTGAGATATTCACATCGACACCTAAGCGTGTACTTGACCAAAACGTCCACTGCAATCCGGTACCTCATCAAAACAACAGCACAGATCGAACCGGCTGACTGCCAGATCAAGTGGGAATCGATTCACACTTCTGCTTATGTATGGCCTTTGGAAAAAAAAACTACGCGTACTTTAACAACAGAGGTATTATTCAGAGCCTTGGAGTATGTCCACCGCAATCCTCAGCCTGATGTTTGCAATGTCGCTTTGGGCTATCGGAAATGGTGGCGGGTAGCCGCGTGCAAGAAAAGAAGCGAAGGCGAGCATGAAAACACTGCAGCTCGACCCGTCCGACTGTTGAGGGACACCATGAGCAACCACCTTGGGCGCCGGGAGATCCAGTTTGGCTTGTTGACCATATCGACGAGCCGCTTCGTCACGGAGGTATTGCGTGAAGTTCGCAAGCACATCGGAAGAAAAAACGCCATCGTCTTGCAGGAGGGAGTCGTAGTACTCCAGCCCTTGTTCTCGGACACATAATAGGGTCCAACGCACTCGATTTTTATGGACAGGGATCAAGACCATGCCGTACGAGAAAATATTCACAGCTTTTGTCCATTTTGCGACCCTTTCATGTCGATAGCCGCCACCGACGAGCTTGGTATAGAAAAAGGGACTGAAAATGTAAAGAGAGGGACCCCAGGGAACGCAGCGTTGGCAAGCAAGGCCAAGTACGACTCCACCACCTCGTCGGATAGCCATTACCCCTGGACAAGAGTTTGAAGACTTTCTCTGGTCAACAGAATCGAACTGGGACCTCTGCGAACCGAGGAAACCACCTCCTGGCCGTTGCTGAAATCTCTGCAGACGTTCTGCAACATTCTGAAGTCCGCAGCGCTAAGCTCCTCAGTAGGCAAGGGAACGCGAAAACATGATGTAGCCCCAGCTGCACAAACACCCACGAACAAGTGTGAGGAGTGAGCACAAACCCCGGGGCGGAATGGCTAAGAATTGTCTGCCCTTTTCTCAGAAAAGTTATATCCCCGACTGTTGAAGGTGTCCTTCGCGATGTACTTAGGACACGGGTCTTTCAAGACACCCCATTTGCCATCGTCATCAGACCCATCAAACAAAGCAGTAATGCTCTCAATAGACGCAGCCAAATGTTTCCGCAGACCTTCCTCCTTATCTATTCTACAAGCCTTCAGAACCCTGACAGCTCTCTCAGAAAGGCAAGGCATCTGGACCCTTTTAAACAACCCTACACTTGACGACTTCTTCGGTAAAGCGGCCAATGACCTCCCTGAAAGACGTTTCTCTCGCACGACTTTTAAAGGCTTCATGAGCAGGGACATTAACAACCTCACACCTGTAGAACATAGAAAACAACCCACAGCCCACAAACTTTTTTTTAACAAGTGGTAATAGGTACATTAGCCCATGACATGAATTTGGACGAACACAGAGCTGGCTAGACACAGATATGCGAGTGCTCCTATTCACAAATCTTACCGTGCTCGGGAGCCCTTTGAGGGAACTCGCCTTCCTGTCGCGCCACTGCGCCAACGTCCACGGACGATTCGAGGTTTTGGACCTCGGCCACGGCTGTGTCGCTAACCAGCTCGGTGGCAGCTGAGTCGCTTGGCAAGTCGATGGCTTCATCATGAAGCACCATTTCCCGACCGGTACTGAGGACAGATGCTCGATCACCCTGTTCGGCACCGCAACGGATGGACGGAGAATCATGATCTTTCCGCTCTGGATCCATCTTGATGCTGACGGCCACCTCACCGCCTTCCACGGAGGATTCGACGTTCTGCATCTCGGCCACGCCTGAGTCGCTAACCAGCTCGGTGGCTGCCGAGTCGTCACCCAACTCTATGGCTTCATGAAGCACCATTCCCCGAGCGGTGCTTAGGACAGACGGTCGACCACCCTGTTCTTCACCGCAACAGGTGGGCGAAAAATCACCATCTTTCCGCTGTGGATCCGTCCGGATGTCGACAGTCACCTCACCGCCTTCCTCATCACCATGAACCCGAGCTTCCACCGCGGGTTTTTCTTCGTCTTCATCGTTCCCAATAACGGGAGCTTGCACGGACGTCCATTGACCTCCGTTAACGGCACCCTCTCACGTCGTGGCCACAGCCGAACGACTGTGCAGAACCTCTGCGGACGTCCCGATCACCAGCGCTCGTGCATGGAGCCACTTCACGTCTTCACGAGCCGGCCCGTGTCGAGTCTCCTCTCCCCGCTGTAGAGCATGCGTTTCCCCCGGAGCTCCTGCACTCTTGCTGCCAGTGTGCACGGACGCACCCTCCGAAGCATGACGTTCAAACTCGCTACCCCCGGTCTCCAACACTTTGCGAGACTGCCAGCGTTGAGTCTCCTCTTCCCGATGTACAGTACGCATTCCCGGAGAGCGCTCCTCTTCCCCAGGAGTGTGACGTTCGTGCTCGCTACCCCCGGTTTCCAACACTCCTCTAGGGGGCCCCTCCAGCATGTCGCGAGACCGCCAGTCTCGAGTCTCAACACATGAAAACGGAGGCGAGCAGGGCAACCCTGTGTCCAACTGAAGATGCGGGGGGCAGGACGTGACATTTTCTTGGCCCCGCGGAACTGTTGCGTGAGGAGCACTTATGGCGGAGGGCGACGTCAGCAAATCCGAATGTATTCGGAGTTTGTGGCGGTCGCCCGAGCCGAGGGAACCGAAGGTCGCACCTTCGCTCCTTCGCAGTGCAGGCATCCCGCCCTCCAGGCAAAATGAAGACGCGCCCTCTTTCAGGAGCAAGGTGTTGAGCACAGGAGACCTCTGCTGCCCACAGTGAGATGGACTCTCCTCGGCAACGGGAAACAAAGTCCTCGCAGACAAGTGCGAATCTACTCGCACTTGATCAGACCTCAGGGTGGCCTCGTCTCGCATGTCGGAATCTCGACTCCCTACGCAGTGAGGGTCAGTATCCATATACTGGGGACTCCCGGACGTTCTACGCTTTCCGCCCGGCCCCTTCCCGCCGGACCCCTTTCCGCCCGAGTCCTTTCCGCCAGACCCCTTTCCGTCGGACGCCTTCTCTACCGACGATGTCTCGTCCGTCCCCTTTCCGGCAAACTGTGAGCCGTCTCCTCCCCCACCTTCGCCGTCACCTTCGTCTCCTCCTCCACCCCCTCCCGGATGCTGACCGCCCGACGGAGGTTGCGGCATGCGCCAGTCAATGCCACGAGACGGTGCCGTTTCGAGTGTGTAGAAAGGCGCTCGAAACTCCAACATGTTGTTGGCGTACAACTCTTTTAGCTTTTGTTCTGCATACGCAGCGATGTCCGGATCGTTCCTCTCGGGGTTCATAAGACTCAAATGCTCCACCAAAGCAGTTCTCGCCGTTCTCTTAAATGCACCCGCTCCCAGTCTTTTCAGTCCACTCCACTTGCCATCGGCCTCCTTCATTTCCATGACCCACATTCCATTCCTCACAGCAGGTTGGAATATCCTCGGGTGCCAGACGACTTTGTGTCCCCAGACATCCTCCACCGTCAACCGGTGATGCTTGCCGAAGAAGTAGAGTTTGTCATTTTGCCAGGTGTCATGGTCCACTGGGAGCCTGTCACAAGGTTCGTGATCATAGTCCCTGTCTTCCTCCCCGTCATCAGACGATTGGTCGTCGACTGGTTCGCCCCGAAACACACGCTTCAAACCGGCAGGGGACGTGCTATATCTCCGAGGGCCACCTTCCTCTTCATCACCAACCTGTCCAACCACCCGAGGAAGTGGCATGGACTCGAAATCGAAGGTTTCCGAGTCGCTCAGCTCCTCCATGTCTTCAGCGTCAAAAGGGTCCTCCTCGTCAAACTGTGACTTGTAGTTTTCCAGGGTGAGCGGTTCGGCCAGCGTGAAGTAAACGTGCTCCAGTCTTCTCAGGAAATGCGAGACAGACTCCGTGGGTGCATCGTGGTACCCATTGAGCACACCGAACACCAGGTTTCTCCGTCGACTATATTCGACGTCGGTCGGACCACGCGGTCCGAGTTGGAAAAGGAAGTCCCAAACCTCCGTCCTTTTGTTCCCCGACATTTTCCAATACATATCACGTTTGGGATCCCAGTTTCGTTCGCCGGTGGTGTGGACGAACTCGCAAGCATTGCGAGTGTCTGCAACGCATGCCTTCACGAACTCGTGAAGGTAATCGATCATCCTCGCCTCCTTCTCCAACGCGACGACGTTCCAACCGGTGCGCAGGAGTTCCCACACGACAGACGCATGCGCCTTCCCAAAGAAAAAAACAGTTTGCCCAGCTTTGCAAAAGTTTTCGAGTAGACCCAACAGACGGGACGGGTTCCGCTCCATCTCCCCGTAAGCAGGTCCTTGAGAACTTGTCACGCTGCCGTCCTGCCACATGCTATGAGAGAACCTTTCCTCTTCCGGCACGTCGAAACATGCCACAGCCTGTCCTGATGGGTCCGACGAACAGACAGCTTTGGAGCGGGCCGCCACCGTGTGTTTGACCGAACTTGGACCATGAGCACGGGAAGCCTTTGTCGGGCTGCTGGCCGGGTAGACTGCGAATGTGTTGTCTTCCAGCTTCTCACCATTAAAAATCATGTACAGGCGGTCATACTCCTCAACCAGCATATTGCCTTCCCGGACAGTGGCCTGCTTTTGTGCATTGCGCACCCACTTCCCTGTCCTGACGTGATGGACGCTAAGCCTGGCCATGCCTTTCAAGATACTGAGCTCCCAATGAGAGGGGAAAAAGACCACAAGTGCCCACTGCGTTGGCGAAAGTGTTTGGAGAACGACTTGCAAGTTTGTGAAATCATCTTCTTGCCAGTCTGTGAGGAGTGTGGGATCACACAAATCGAGGACGTACAGGTTGCACACGTAATGTCGCACAACCTCACGGATCGCAGTGACATGACTGTGAGCTTGGGAAGGCGGGAAAGCGAAAGGAATAAGGCTGGTCACCCGGTTGAGGTCGGGCCATTTGATGTGCCTCACATCCCTGCTGACCCTGATCGTGTCTCGAACTTCTTCTTTCGTCTGTCGCAAGATGGAATGGACAGACTTTTCGAAAGATTTAGGGAACCTGTCATCATCGTACAATCTCTTTGCGTCGTCGATGGACTCCTTCTCGTGCGGAAGAGTACATTTGCAAGTGTTCACGTACTCCACCGCGCCCTGGAAATGCGTTCGCATTCCAACCCACACCTGTTTCGTGAGGCCCTGCGGCCTGAACTCCTCTAGAAGCTTCCCCTCGGTCCGAAAAAATGGGCTCCCGTGGCGCCAAACACGTTCGTCCGCCTCCATTTCAAGGAACAAGATGTAGTGGAACATACGGAGCATCACACGGTCCACTTTCGTCGTCGCGACCATGTCTTTAATTCCTGGTTTATGCTGATGCTTCAGATGGCTGCCCGCGGATTGCACAAACACTCCCCTTAGCGGGAGAATGTCGTCAAGGATCGACAGTTTTTCAACATCGGTCATGTCTGCGAGACACTGTCAACAGAACATGTCTGACTCCTTCACGACCACGAAAAACTTGTCATCCGCTTGCGTTTTCTTTTTGGTCGGAGGCGGCGGGACCCGGACCAACCACCCCATCTTCGTTTCACCAGCCGCCCATTTCCGGAATTGCTTGCAGACCCGGAGATTTGTCTGGCATGTATTTGCCCGGCCTCGACAATGGCGTCTTGCCGTCGCCACCCAACAACTTCCCCTCCGCCCATTTCGCGTAGGACTCCATGGCTTTGCGGAAAACGTCATCACCGGCCGTTACGAGCGGCATCCACTGCCTCAATGCATTGCCAACGGCAGCGACATACTCCTTGTCGGCGAGCGGCAAATCTTTTTTTGACAATGCCTAGTGAGATTCGTTCGGACTCTTTCCCAAAATCAGCTTTTGAAAATCGAAAAACTTTTGTTTTTCGGCCTCCTTGCCGGAAGGGTTCCCTTGAATGGCCATCGGCCTTCCTTCGTTCTCCCATGCCTCCCGCATGTCCGAGAATGCGGTCTTCTGCGATTGCTGCTTAGACATCTTGTGTCTCGTGTTTTCGTTGAGACTGACCTGCCTATACCCCGCGAAATCTAGGTCGGAGAACCACACTACTCTCGTCGGCCACGAGTGCATCTTCCACAAATCGAATATTTGCTCATCCTCCAACTCCTTCACAGCAGCCACGGTGTGTTGACCGTTAACAGGGTAATAGTAGTACTTGTCCTTGTCCTCTGGCTTGAAGACATCTTTGTGAACCCTTTCAGCTTTCTCCGGCCTACGCGCCACCGGCTTGTAAATGGGTGCCAAAACCAAACGGTTTTTCATCCAGATTTTCCCCTTTTTGTCGTGGAATTGACTCAGCATCGGAGCCTTGATGTCGTCCACAGTTTCGCGATTTAGACTGCGGTGGTTGTAATATCTTTCCCAAGACGGGATGTCGCAGACCTTCCTGGGGTCGATGAGCAGTTGGACGGGGAACTCCTTCTCCACGATTTCACCGCCATCGTTCCGCTCGTATTCGAGCCAGAACGTCGCCGCTTCGTCGCACTCGTCACCGACAGGCCATTCGGCCCCGCTCGAAGCCTCAGTAGTCTTCCGCCTTCGAGGTTTCTTCTTGCCATCGCCTTCTTTGGCTGCCATTTTCCGTTTCGATTTCCCCGAAGGTTCTCTCGCGGCCGCAGCGCCTGGATCAACCGAATCTCCTCCACCCATGGCTTGTCCTTTGCGAATGGTCAAACCGTCTGGCCTCCTTGCTTTCTTACTTGCCGTGCCACCCTCTTCCTTCGGCGGCCTCTTTTCCGATGCACGTTCTCCGACGTCACCTCCATCCCCGCCCATCACCGCCTCCGATTTTCCTCTCATCCTCTTCATGCGGAGGGTTCCTTCTTCCACCTCCTCTCACACCATCCTCTGTCGCTCGCGCTTCTTCTCCGAAGGAATCTGCTCCCCGCCAGAGCTTTCGCGGACAACGCCAATCCCTTCAGCGTCATTTCCTCCGACATCTTGTCCCGATCTGCCGGATTCTCTTCTCGTCTCATCTCGAAGCGAATACGTGTCGCCGCCGCAGCGGACCTTGATGAGTTTCGGAGTACAGACCCGTTGAGTCCCTGTACCCTGAGAATGCAAGTCCGACGTGTTCTCAGGAGCATCCTGACCGGCCTGCGTGTGAACTCTGCGCGCGTGCCCCTTGACCCGACCCCCAGCATCTTCAATCGGACTCCCGCGCCCCACTGCCGCAACTGGAGTTTCTTGAGCCAAGTCGGACAACCCCTCACGGGGTGGCAGAAGCCGGAAAACATGTTCTCGCGGAAGAACCGGACGTTCTTTCGGCACCATCTGCGCGAGATCGAGATATTGCTCTGGCGATGGAAGACGCTTGTTGCCGCCATCGTAAAGGCCTTTGAAGTGAGAGCACAACGTCATGTTCGAACCGTACCCCGCAAATCTCTTGATGGTCACCAACACACCTTTAACACCTCTGAGAGGCAGTCTGCACTCGTCGTACAAACCGTTAGTGTGCAGCTTGAGCAAACCTCCATGAGTCTTGGCGCACACGACGATCGTACCGAGAGGAATAACGTGGTCCGCTCCCTCAACGTAGGGAAAGCAAGTGGGTCGAATGAAAACAGCTGGTCCAAAAAGATCCCCCTGAACAACAAAGTCCAAAAACCATTGTGCTCCCATTGCGTGCATATACTGAGGAGTAGATTGTTGTGGAGGTCATCCCTCCCTGGGGGTAGATGGTCCAGCGCTTGTGGATGTGTTCTTTGCAGACGCCATTGTACTCCCACCCGTAGACTAGCACGACCAACCTCACACCAACTCGGATGACTAATACGCCCAACCCCAGACCACTACAAAAGCGAAGTGCGAACTAACTCGGACTTAACGAAATGGAGGACGAAAAGGACGTAAGAGATGGGTGTTCGAAATGCACACGAAGTCACAACAATCGGGTGAAGGATAGGAAAGACACCAGTCCTCTGGCACAGCATGAACGAGCTCACTGTCGTAGAATCGAGGAAGAGGTGATTTATCTTCAGGAAAGTACGAACTAACTCGGAGTTTCGGGAATGAAGTCGCCTACAACAAGTACCTCATGGGTATCGACAAGGGGGAACCGACGTGCAGTTCCGGACTCAAGGAAACCGAAGAATGAGATTGGTGTTTGAAATGCAAACGAATATATAAACAATTGGGTGGATGGCACAGTGAGCTCGGAGGGAAGACGGCAACTCTTCGGAAAGATTGCGACCCGACTAGATGCCCTCGAAACGAGTAAGATGTGGTTTATCGACAAGTCCGAAGGGTGTCGACAAGTGTGAACTAACTCGCAGTTCTGTAGACAAGACAACAATGGCAAACCACAGCACTAGGGGAAAGTGCGAACTAACTCGGAATTGTGGAACTGAAGACCTGAAAGACGCATGAAACGAGTAAGATGTGGTTTATCGATAAGTGCGAAGGGTGTCGACAAGTGCGAACTAACTCGCAGTTCTGCTGACAGGATAACAATTCCAACCCGAAGTACAAGGGGAAAGTACGAACTGACTCGGAATTGTGGAACTGAAGACCTGGTTTATCGACAAGTGCGAAGGGTGTCGACAAGTGCGAACTAACTCGCAGTTCTATAGACAAGACAACAATGGCAACCCGCAGCACCAGGGGAAAGTACGAACTAACTCGGAATTGTGGAACTGAAGACCTGAAAGCCACACGGGATGGGTTATCAACTCCTCCAGCAGTGTTGCTCAAAAATTGCAAACTAACTCGCATTTGTGGAAATAAAGAACAGCCTTTAATGAAATATGTGTCTAACCCAACTTGCACTTGTACCCGCAGTTTCGTAATGGAAATGCTCGTTGACAAGTGCGAATTCATTCGCTCTTGAACCAACCAAGCCCTTAATTTGTTATTGTTTAGTCCATAGGTCAGAATTAAGTCACACTTGTATCCCCAGTTTCGTAATGAAAATGCCCGTTTGCAAGTGCGAATTTATTCTCTCTTTAACCAAACATCCCCCTAAATTTCTTACTCTTTAGTCCATAAGTCCCAGTTTCATAGTGGAAATGCTCGTTTGCAAGTGCGAATTTATTCGCTCTTCAACCAACCATCCCCATAAATTTGTGACTCTTCAGTCCATAAGCCCCAGTTTCATAATAAAAATGCTCGTTTGCAAGTGCGAATTTATTCGCTCTTCAACCAACCATTCCCCTCAATTTGTTCCTCTTTAGTCGATAAGTCGCGTCTCTTCTCGGCCCAAAAGAATGAAGTCCTTTTGTATTTGTGAGTTAACTCGCCACTGAACCAACCACGAAGGCAATTTCTTATTGCACGGCGTAATTGAAATGTTCCTCTGAAGTGCGAATTTTTTGTTACTTGAAATTTCTTGTTGTTTAGTGGATAATACCGAATTGACTCGCACTTGTGTTCGCTCTTGTTCCGACCATAAACTTAATTTCTTACTATACGTTGAATACGTCCGAATCAGCTCGCATTTGTACTCTCGCCTGAAAAAGTGCGAGTTTACTCGGACTTATCCAAACCATTTGCACACTGAACGAGTGGGAGAGGAGTCGGACTTGAGAAACCACTTGAGCCTCACATCAGGGTCCAACAAAACGATATGGATTCAAATGTTGTTGTTCCACTGTTTTGTGATAAATATTAAAAATGCGAGTTTGTTCCCTCTTGTTTGTTTTCCTGACCTCGTCATACGTTGACGTGATTTTCTTGTTGTACAGTTTCTGTGTGAATTGTCTTTTCAAATGGCTGTCCAATCCGTCCACTGTATCACGCCACCGCCACCGTCACGACAACACAGAGAAGACGAAGTTCGAGAACGTAGTTCTTGTGACAGCAGCCCGGAAGCTCCCTCTGATCGGCATTGCGGTTTGAAAAGGGAGTTCTCGATGTTGGCCCCGACGAATCATTCCGGCTCGTCTACGACGTCCGCCCGACGTCATTTTGTTCGCTTCACCGACGTTCCCGATGGTCAGCGCGTGTCTACAGCGCTAATCCCCTGTAGTGAGGGTGTTTGGGATGTCGAGACGTTTCTCGGTGGACGGATGTTCGTGGACACAGATTTCTGTAGTGTGTCCGAAATGACTGGATCATATCTCGTGCGGACAGTGGGTAGATTGTCTGAAAGCATTGAAGTTACCCAACCCCTAGCATTTGACTATAGTCGGTCGTTGGTGGACACAGACTTCTGCGGTACGCCCGATAGAAACGGGTCTGATCGGGAACAGTGCGGTGCATTTGCTAGAAACGGGTATGATAGGGACCAAGCAACGGAACGTGCGTGTGGAAGTGAGAAGATAGGTAATAGAATTGCATGTAAAGCCGGAAAAGTCGGCTCTCCGTCGATGACAGTCATGTGTGCAATGGAAACTTGGCAGAGTGGTTTTCTAGACACAGATTTCTACAGTTCATCGGAATCCTCCCAATCTGATTTGCCGAGAACCGCTCCCACGGGTGCGGCGCATAGGTCCCCGACCAAAAGCCAACCTGGAACTCCCGAAGCAGTCCTTCAAGTTTTGTCTCATCCCCTACCTAGAGAAAGGAGAAGATATAATCGAAAAAATAGGCCGCTTAGAAGGTCAGAGCATTTGAAGAGGGCCAAAAGTCGATTGAATGAAACTAACATTGCGCTTGTCCGAACACACAAATGTTGTAAGAACAAGTGTCTTCGGGTCTTGACCATTGACGATATCAAACCGGTGCGCGCAACCTATTACGAAATGTCCCTCGAAAGGAGGATTGAGTGGTGGATGCAAACCCTCGACAATTTCACTATCCTCGATGGCGGTCTGGAAAGAGTCAAACCAGTGCAGTGCAAACGCCATGTGTGCATCGCCGGTTGGTGCAAAATAATAGGGATATGTCGAAATACATTTCGTCGTTATAGCAAGTGCAAATTGGACGGGGTCGTCCGTTGCCGTCATGGTCGATGGGGATTGTTGAACCCGCGACCAGAGTATGTGAGCATGCTGACTCGTGTGACAAGGTTCGTGGAAGAATATGGAGATGCTATGCCTAACGAAATGGTTGTGAGGGGGACCTCACAACGACCTAAAGTTAGGCTCCCTGCTTATTTCACGAAGCTCCTTGTCTACGAGTCCATCAAGGCGGACATGGAAGCGGCGGGTCTGACCGTCATTTCGGAGCAAGTCTTCTACTCCATATGGAGGAAGTACTTGTGGCATGCCGACCTTGCCAAGTCCAACTCGTTCACAAAGTGTGGCGAGTGCGTCCGCCTTCGACAAGCCAGAGATAACACCTTTCTCCTTCGTGACCGTAAGGATTTCGATGAAAAGCACCGCAAACACCAACTAGATCAGGTTGCTCACCGTGCGGATTACGCAGACTGGAAACTTCGTTCCATTTTGAACCCCGCGGAATACATCTGCCTCATAGTGAATGGAATGGATCAGAAAAAGACAACCATTCCTCACATCGGTATGTATAATTACTCCAAGGATCATCGACACGACATGATGATGAAAACGAACCTGACCGCGGTCGTAGCTCACGGCAGGAAACTGTCCATTATGTTTATACGTATTTGTCTTTCTATGCGCACGGTTCCGATGGCACCATGACGTGCGTTATGCGGACTCTATGTGAGTTACAGGCGTCGGGCCAGAAATGGCCACGCCACCTCGAAAAAACTGAAGGACAACGATGCTTACACCATGAAGCAGTTGTTCTCGCTTATCGAGTCGTTGCACAAGATACCGCCGAAGTGCATTGAGCTCGATCACATTGCCGATTGGCGTCGGGTAGTGGATCGATACGTCGACAGAACCATCGTCGGCGTGTCGAAACCGCACCTCTTCAAATTCTTCATGCATGACAGCAGTCCCGTCATGGTGTACAAGAAGTACTGTACCGATGCGGAATGGATGCCGGAAGGCATACCAGTTCACTGGTTTCCGGTTGTCGATGGGCAGTATGCAGGCCCTACCTCCCCTCCACAGCCATGTGTTATTCCCCGTTGTCAGGCGGCCACAAGTAGTGCGCCGCCTGAAAATGGCGGTTTTGGGACTTAGGCTCAAGGGCGAGTCCGTGTTTTTACGGTACTTTGGTCTGACCGGGCAGCAGAAATTATGAGACCTCAGGGTGTCCCTGATTTTGGGCGCACTGGATCTTAAGAGTAACCCTCAAAGATGGCGAGATGGATGGCCACCCCCGACGCATCTAGGGACTGT